AAAGGAGGCAGAGAGCCCGGTGCCGCCCGACTTGGAGTGGCCCGAGCGGAGACCGCCGCATGAGTCCAGGCCGGATCAGGGGCCTGGATAAGAGGACTGGGGCCGCTGAGTGGGAAGGTCGAGGGGCGTCGGCAGCCCCGGCCGGGATGTGGGACCTGGGTGCGCGCCGCGGCGCTAGAGGTGGAGGCAGTGGCCGAGGCAGGTCCTCCTCCGCGCCCTGCCCGGCCTGGGTAACAAAGCCACGGCGGCCTCTGTTGGGTGATGTACGCGTGGGGGGTTCCGGGCGGGCGGGGCGGAGGAGGCAACACCACCACTAACGCCGCCTCCTCCGCCGCTGCTTTCGCTGGAAGGCGGGCGGATGTACGGAGCAGCAGGGCCCCCGGCGCGAAGCGCCTCGGCTCCTGTGGTCCACTCGTTGCGGCGGCCGCCACCGCCTGCCACTGGGTTAGTGGAGTAGGGCCGCGGGCGGGGAGCAGTCACTACGGTGCCCAGCTGTGGCCAAGGGGACCGCGGGCGGGGGCGCGCTATGAGTCTCCCGAGCTGGAGTTGGGAAAGATGTGCAGAGAGAGACACGTGCCCAGGGAGGAGGCTTCTATTGTAGGGAATGGGGCAAAGGAGGCTCGGCTCGCTTTCAGTTAGTTTTGCAGGTTGGAGTGGTGCGAGCGACCTCTTCTATGCCGGCCACAACTTTAGGGAAGGGTAGTACTGCTTACAGTCAGGCTGCTCAGAAGAATTCACCTTTTGGCAGTGCTTTAAGATTGACGACCACGTGTTGAATACCTCCAGCTGTGGTGATAATTTTGCCTGGTAACCTACTATGCTGCTCCAGAGTAGTGGAAGATATATGCGAACTTGAAGAGAAATGAGGAAGAAACTGAACAATCATTTATGCTGGGTGATTGGCCACCAGTCACTGTGTCCCTGTAAAGTCATTTAAGTGTGTATTTTACAGCGCATTTTTAAAGGGTTTGTTGTAGGGAGATAGATGTTGAAGTTACATTTCATTGAAGCGAAGGTGACTTATTTGTGCTTGCACCAGGTATATTGCCACCCTCAAAAGTGTTTCAGAGGTTCGAGACTTTGTCTTAAAAATGAATATTATGAACTGATATTTTTTAAGGCCTTATTTATCTTTTTCTAGGGTGTCTTTTATGAATAATCAAAAGCAGCAAAAGCCAACGCTATCAGGCCAGCGTTTTAAAACTAGAAAAAGAGGTAAATGTTTATATTTTAATAATATCTCTCTTTGAACCTCCAGAATATTTTGCATATCTTGGTTCCTCTGGTAGGCAATTTGCTTAGTACTGAAAACTTGAAAGAGAAAATACCAGAAAGGAACTTGAATTTCTATTTGATTGCCAATTCCTTTAGATACACCTTTTTAAAAAGTGTGAGCTGTATTTTCCCTAGCTAGCAATTTCATTTAAGCAGCTATTTTGCTTGAGCAAAAAGGTGAATTTATAAAAAGAGAATTCCTCACATGGTTACTGTTTTCACTGAAATTTTGTGTAGATTTGTGAGAGAAAAATTGGACTCTAATTGTGGCATAGAGTTCCATGATATTTGTGAAGTCTTTTGAAATTAAATACTTGTGTCACAGCCTTAGTAGGAACAGTGTTAGAATTGAGTCTTCTGTAGACGTGAGTACTTAAGTAAAAACAGGTAGTCCTCAACACAGGGATCTGTTCTGACAATTCCTAAGTTGTTTGATGTAAGTCGAATACCACTACTTTTTAAATACTTTGTTTTTATTTTCAGTGTGTTCCTAAATCTGATCTTTGAACATCTGCCAGTGAACATGTGGGAATGTTAATATCAGCAAGTTTCACTGCAACGTTGTATGTAGTGTTAAAAAAAAAAAAAGTGGTAAATTGTGGACTTCCTGTGTTGAGTTCTGTACCAAAGCACTCACAACTGGTACAGAGCTGAAGAAACCGTGGTGTCGGATATATTTTGTATTAGACCGAAAATATTCCTAAAACATTTAAAAGTGTTAACTTGCTGAAAAACACATATTAAACTTATTTTACAGGCCTTTTAAGGAGAAAGAACTGGGTCAGCTACTCATCATAGAGTACGTTTCCTTTTGTATGCTAAGTGTCAAACACTTTGAGATACATGTTAAAGAATCTTTTGCAGTCTCTGACCGCAGTCCCTTGTGGAGGTGCTGGGGAGACCAAAGTGTGATTTGATTCTGGTATGTCCAGATAAGTTTAAGTTTAATCAATACAAGTTTCCTTGAGGAGTATGTTGTAAACTCAGAGCAGTTCAGCACTGGTGGGAAAAAGTCCATAGCCTGTGAGGAATGCAGGTTACTGGTATCATTGCCTTAGTAGAAATAATAATAGCAAGATAGAGATAACTCTTGCCCTCCTAGCTTTTGGTGATTAGAGTTCTGGGTAGGATGGCTGGCCATCTTGATTTCCCTGGGGCTGAGGGACTTCCTGGGACATGGACTTTTTAGTGCTTAAAACCAAGAACAGGGAAGAGTTGATCATTCAAAACTTAAAACAACTTTTATAAGACTGGCATTGCTTTTAATCTCCATTTTACAATAGGGAAATTGAGCCATGGAGAATGAGGCTAGTTGCTGAATGGTAAGAGGTAATCAGAATTCCAGTCAGGCAGTTTGACTCCAGAGCCCATGCTCTTAACATACTATAAGATGGGATCTTGTGATTACTTAATTTCTCTGACCCGAAATTTCTCTTCCAATAATGGGATCAAAAGGTTCCTGTGAGGATGAAAGTAAAGTACCTAATATAGTTTGTCACATGTTGAGTAATAAATATTTTCTTAATAAACACTAAATGAGTATTATAAAGGAAAGTGCTTGCAGACGTTCAAAGAAAAGAACCAAGAGTTCCATGTTTGGGCAAAAACTTCATCGAGGGGTAAAACTTGCTGGTGGTTTGGAGGATTGTTGAATTTAAAAAGAGGCATTGTTTCCGGGAAAGCATTTCAGGTAAAAATTGTTGATGGCCACCTCCTGGCCTTCACATTTAGCTCACTTACAAGACTTCTTTTAAAAGTTAATAGAAGAAAAGGCTACCATAATTCTTGTGGCTGGGCTGTCCTGCCTTGTACTACAGGATATGTATTTAGTCTCCTGAATAGCCTAGTTTGTTTGCTTCATTTCCAGCTATTAAATGAAATTGTAATGAATATGGTTACAGCTTTATAAAGTAGTGGTCTTGTGGCATGTTAGTAAACCTTTTAAAACTAAATATTTTGGATTTCTCCCCTCTCCAGATGAAAAAGAGAGGTTTGACCCTACTCAGTTTCAAGACTGTATTATTCAAGGCTTAACTGAAACTGGTACTGATTTAGAAGCAGTAGCTAAGTTTCTTGATGCTTCTGGAGCAAAACTTGATTACCGCCGATATGCAGAAACACTCTTTGACATTCTGGTGGCCGGTGGAATGCTGGGTAAGTGTCTGGTTTTGTGGTCTTGATAATTTAGGGAAGTGTGGTACATGGAATTGAGAATCCTGAGTATGAACAATTTGACAAACATACCAAAATAGGTAGGAGCTCTGGTGTCATTGTGGTTAAAGCGTTGGGCTGCTAACCAAAAGATCAGTGGTTCAAACCCACCAGCAGCTCTGTGGTAGAAAGATGAAAGATTTATAGTCTTGGAAATCCTATGGGGCAGTTCTGCTCTGTTCTGTGGGGTTGCTAAGAGTCAGAATCAGCTCGATGGCAGTGGGTTTATCAAAACAAGTAGGGACTGGTGTTTGTTTGAATCCCTGTTCGGTTACCTGGTGCTGTTCTGACAAGAATATACCACAAATGGAATGGCCTTAACAAACAGGAGTTCATTCTTACAATTTGGAGGCTTTAAATCCCAAGTTCAAAGTGCTAGGTTCTAGGGGCTGGGTGAAAGCCCCTCAACCTTGGGTTGCAGCTTTCCTCCTGCTCCTGGCCCACTGAAGCTGGAGGCTTTTCTTCACTCACCTGCTGGCTGCTGAGGCTGACAAAGCCAAGATTGACAAGAAAAAGGCACAGTCCCGATGTTAACTACACAGCAAGCCATTGATTTAAGTCCATCAGAAGTCCCAAGATCAGCAGAGCATGGCAAGCTGCTGAACAACAACACGGCTACATGTAGGATTCAAGCGTGCCATGAGCTAGAGACCATTCCCCAAGGCTCTCCTTATATACAGGAAGCAGACCATATCCCTAAGGCAGCTACTCAGCTACTTGTGGTAGGTCTCCCACCATGGAGTTGATTACCAGTTTCATCATGGGGAATAAGTACCACTAGCTATCCAGCCACTCACCCAGGCCCAGCCAAGTTGACACACAAACTGAACTACCACAATCCCTTTAGACTTTCTCTCCCCCTCCCCCCCAAAAGCGTAGTAAAGTCACAGATCCCCTTGCTCTGTCTACTTTAGAACTATAATCTTTGAGGATGGCTTTTTACTCTGTGACACATAAGTCCCTACAACATCCCTGCTCAGTTACCACCACCCCCCAACTAGTCCTTGTTCTGTCTTAGGAAATATTTGTGCATACCTGAAGACTAATCCTGCACTGCTCACTACAGTAGCCCCTAGCTACATGTGGCTGTTAAACACTTAGGATGTAGCTAGTCCAAAGTGAGAGATGCTATGAGTTTAAAATACACATCAAGTTTTAATGACTTGATATGGAAAAATAAAATGCATCAATATTTTGTATGTTGGTTACATCCTGAAATCAATTTTTATATATTGAGTTAAAATACATTAAAATGAATTCCACCTGTTATTTTTTAATACAACTCTTAGAAGATTTTAAATATGTGGTTCATATTTATGCTGGACAGTGCTACTCTTACTCCTATGCTCACTTTCAAGATAAACTTTACAGAGTGTGGTACTTAGTTATATAGCTTCAGACATACTTGTTTTCAAAGTAACACGTTGATCCTCACAGCCAGGCTATGCTGGAATCAGAACTCCACTTACGCACATTTGGAATGAAGGCTTAGAAAGGTTTAAATGACTTGTGGTTATTTGGCAGTGAGTGATGGAACCAGGAACTTAGCATTCATGCGTTCTAATGCCTAGCCAAATGAATATTTATTTTGTTACATTACTAGTTTTTAGTAAAAACATACAGAAGATTTCTGTTTTCGTAGATGACAGTACTGCTGCTGAGAAGGCTTCCCTCTTGTCATCTTTTTAAAACATTTACTAAGGAAATTTTCACACATATCCTGGAGAAAATTGTATGAGTTCCTGATCTGTAACCCAATTAGGTATTTGAAATCCTGACAAGATTTTTTTCTGTGTAGAAAGTTTCATATCTAACCATCTTTGAACATCTCTGCTTGAGTGGCATCACATTTGGCGTTATTGAATGGTTAATGAAATTAGTTTTACTGGGTGCTAAAGTGGATTGTTTCCTGTATTCCTATATACATTGTTTCCCTTTCTTCGTGCCTGTTGAACCAGTCAGCCATGTTCCTGCTGACAAGGTGATTTTGTTTCCAGTTCATTTCTTAGAATTTCATCATTTTATAATGAAAATTCTTGCAGAAGGTCAGATTTGAATGATTTTTAATTAAAACTTAAATTTACTGCAAAATTTTTGTAAAATATACCTTAGCCCCAGGTGGTACACTGGCAGACGACATGATGCGTACAGATGTCTGTGTGTTCGCAGCACAAGAAGACCTAGAGACCATGCAAGCATTTGCTCAGGTAAATTAAATTTTACGTAATTAGTTGGCGGTTAACTACTATCCATCTGATTCATATTTAAGAAATGCTCTGCTTTTAAGAGGTTGCAGGCAAAAAGTTGAAAGAATTTGATATTTTCACGTTGAATTTTCTAGTGTTGAAGTTTTAAGAATATTATTCTTGGTGTGATGAATTACAAGCTTCTGAAGTATTAAGGAAGACACAATGGGGCTGGGGAGGGAGACCAGCTTTTCTTTTCCTGTGTGTTCCTGTAGAATTATTCCATTTTTAGGAAAAAATGTCGAACTGAAAAGAAGAATCAGTTCCCTATTTCCGTAGCTGAATTATTCTGCATATAACTATTTTTAAAGGTGAGTTGTAGGCAGATTAGCTTAACAATCAATCTCATTTGAAGGTTTTATAATTCTATTTGTATTGCTGCAAGCAAAAAATTAAATGCAACTAGTGTGGAGATTGCTGTCTGTCATTGGGGAATATAAAGCTGTTTTTTTTCCATCTCCCTCCCCCCCTTCACCGAATTAACATCTACCCTCCCTTACCAACCCACCCCTGGAACCCTGAAAAAAATATCTTTGTGGAACTCTTTTCTTAACTATAAAACTGTATTTTATGATAATCTGTTAGTATCCTAGATGGGTAAATGACTTGTATTTGATCAATAATAAGTTCTTTAATGTACAGTGATTTAGATCTATTGGGGATGGCTGTTAAAGTGTTAACCACATTGGTATATTGCAGGGTTTTGGAACTGACAGGCCCTTCTCAAACTGGTTTAGATAGTTCATAAAATTTACTTCTCTGCTGTGTGAGAGATAATGTAGGGAAGATCTGTGGCCCTCATGACTTAGATGTTTTAGGGATCAAGCATCTTTACATAGAAGATTCATGTTAAACTTACATGATATTCTTCCTAGGTTTTTAACAAGCTAATCAGGCGCTACAAATACCTGGAGAAAGGTTTTGAAGATGAAGTTAAAAAGGTATGAAGCACACTATGCTTTGTGGAAAAGAAAAGGTTAGAGTCAAAGAGAAGAATGTTAAAAGATGTTATTTCTGCCAGAGATTGGAGATAGTTTTTGATATTTAGGTAGAGTATCCTTAAAGTGTAGTTTTGGGGCATAGCATTTCATTGACGGAGAGAGAGAGTAATTTGTTGTACACTGTTTCTTAGCTCTGTCCAAATAGAAAAGGGCTAAAAATCAAAGTGAGGTTAATGAGGTTTATTTAGAGGGTCCAAGATAAACACATTGCCTAAGAGAATTGTAGCATACTTGCTAGTCTGTTAGATATTCTAATACACAGGTGTGTAGAAAAGTTAATTATATTAGTTCATTTCATACTCAAAAAAACCCTGTGAGGCAGGTTTATTATCCACATTTTACATATGAGGACGCTGAGGCATGTAAAAGGTAGCTTGCCCAAGGTTTTCACCGAGCTCATGAGTATTGAGACTGACTTGATTAGACCTCAGAGCCACACTTAACAACCAGTATAGTATGCTTTACTGCTTCTCTTTTTAACAATTAACCATTTATTTTTACAGCTGCTGCTGTTCTTAAAGGGTTTTTCCGAGTCGGAAAGGAACAAGCTGGCTATGTTGACTGGTGTTCTTCTGGCTAATGGAACACTTAATGCATCCATTCTTAATAGCCTTTATAATGAGAACCTGGTTAAAGAAGGTAATGAACCGTTTAATAAAGGATGGTCTTCAGTTAGCTGAGGATGAGGTGAGGTAGATAAGAGTGTGAAGAATGAATTAATAAGGAAGTTAATGTATCTCTTGTGATAGGTTAGTTTATTAACCATCCTTAACTAGGATCATGCACATTCATTGGACATTGAATGTATACTTTTGGTGCCCAGGCAAGAGCTCTGGTGGCACAGTGGTTAAGGCATTTGGCTGCTAACCAGAAGGTCAACAGTTCAAACCCACCAGCTGCTCTGTGGGAGGAAGATGAAGCAATCTACTTCTGTAAAGATTTATAGTCTTGGATACCCTGTAGGTCACTTTGAGTCAGAATTGACTCAGTGACGGTGGATTTGGGTTTTTTGGTGCCCAGGGTTAATGACTTCTTCAGGAATGCAAAGAATATCCAAGGTCCAGACAAAATGCGAGTGTGTAATGGAAGTAAAGAGAGGAATGATACGGAACCATCTAGTAGAAAAGATGACATCAGGGGCAGTGTCAAGCTATGAAGAAAAACCAGTTCCCAATTGTGGTTTCCTTAGTTGAATTATCCTTCATAATTTAAAAAAAAAAAAAACTTGTTAGTACTTGGAGTGCCTAATACCTGACATGCCTTATTTTAATTCTAATTTTAATTCTTAGCCCTGACAGCTACAGTAACTGTCAGCCTAAATTTACACATTAGATAGGAATGCACAACTAGCAAATGGTGGAATGGGGAAATTGGAGTGAAGAGGTAAGCATGGCAGAGAGAAGTTTGGGGGTAGAGCAGGTCATCCCTGTGTGGTTGAACTCTGGGAAAACTAGGGCCGGGGAGCATTGTAACGGTGGAAACCAGGAAAGGACTTTGTTAAGTACACTTGTTTTTTGTTATAGGGGTTTCAGCAGCTTTTGCTGTAAAGCTCTTTAAATCGTGGATAAATGAAAAAGATATCAATGCAGTAGCTGCAAGTCTTCGGAAAGTCAGCATGGATAACAGACTGATGGTTTGTAACTTTTTTATTTCTTCCTATTCCTGCCAACACTTAAGGCAAGTGTAAAGAGGGGAAATTTTCATTTGTATTCTATAAAAAGAGGGAAGGTATTTTTCTTAATCTGATTTAAACACCATGTAACCAGATTAAAATCTTCCTTTCAGGAGCTATTTCCTGCCAATAAGCAAAGCGTTGAACATTTCACAAAGTATTTCACTGAGGCAGGCTTGAAAGAGCTTTCAGAGTATGTTCGGAATCAGCAAACCATAGGAGCTCGTAAGGAGCTCCAGAAAGAACTTCAAGAACAGATGTCCCGTGGTGATCCATTTAAGGATGTAAGAGACTTCTGTTTAAATCGTCTGTACGTGACTAGGTTGCTAGCAAAGAAATCTTTTGCTCATTTGAGAAACTGAAGTTACTTCACTAGAGTGACTTTGAATTAATAGCTATAGAATGTCATTCTGGGATTTTGCCTTGGTCTTTTTCATATGCTTATTCTGTGCCTTACTGGTATCCAGAAATCTTAACACTTGGAGATTGTGTAGAGTGCAAGCCAGTGTGGAATGGCATTGGTTCTCTTTCCATCTTAGTTCCTTCTTAGTTAGTTTGCCTTTGTGTAAAATGAGAGGTTTGAACTAGAAGCTCCTTCCAATTCTAAACATCCTGTATTGTATCCACCTACTCCTCGCTTATCAAATATCTTGTTATCCAACATTACGCATTCACAACAGGAGCTCTGGTAGCATAGTGCCTAAGGCACTTGTGACTGCTCACCAGAAGGCTGGCGGTTCAAACCCACCAGCCACTCCTTGGAAGGAAGGTTGGGCAATCCTACTTCCGTAGTGATACTGCCTCGGA